GGGGGTAATAGGCGCCTATATAAGAAAAAGCTCCATATATCGGGACTGTCCCTATAAAATCGGGACATCTGGTCACCCTACCCTTCCCCCTCACTGTCAAGGGCCCAGGGAAAAGAGGATTGGAGCTTGCGTAGAGAAAGGGTGTAGCTGCAGAGATATGGGTTTGAGAGTGATTCTCACCCGGAAAATGAGGCACCAACACAGGGCTTCAATTCCCCCTTTGCCTTTCCTCTTGCTGCAAGGGAGCAGTTACTTGGCAGACGCACAGGAGAGCTCTCACTAACATAGGTTTGGGTTCAATTGCATTCCCTGCTCTGGTTAACACTTTTACCTGGTGTTCATAGGCGCAAGGCTCTATCCCTGTGCGGCTTGAACCCCAGAGAGCTCTTATCTTGAGAAGTCTGGCCAGCGTATAAAGAACTGACGGTCGAGCTGCCCGAGGTCAACGCGTATGCACATTTGCAACTGCATTGCACTTGCAGCCATTCCTGTGCACACAAAACCGGGCATATGCAAGCACAAGTGATGAGCTAGGTAATGAAATGATGAGCTTTGTAGGCAAGCGAGAGGACGGTGCACACACTCCTTTTGCATGAGCAACAGAGGCTCTAACCTTTGAAAATGTGACTCAGATTGTACAGCAAGGTGTTTGCAGGGTGTGCTGGTGGCAGATTGTCTGAGTGCTGTGCCTCTAAAACCATTGTGCCTGCCAAAGGTGCAGCTCATGAGGCCAAGCGAGAGAGCAACTATAGTAAGTAACGGAAATAACCCTTCTATAAAATAATATATGCAACTGCTTATTTGTAGTGTATCAAGCAAATACAGGAAATGGAGGTTTAATCGGGGAAAACACGCCTTAGCACCAGCTACACCACAAGGTTTTCTTGACTAGAACTCTACTAATATGTGCGAATGATTCTGGTAATAGTCCAATTTTATGTTCTGCATGCAAGCCCAGTCCAGTGAGGGTAGCAAGAGGGTAGCACCAGGAATCAGGCAGACACAAGAGAATCGCCAAAGTAGCTATTAAAAATGATCATTTATGAAGTCTCTGCTAACGGCTTATCTCTGAGGCTGGTGCTGCTGCATGTCAGGTTTCTGCTCTTTGTTTTGGACAAAGCAGAGAGGGTGCTAAATCTGGGAAGTAATCAAAAGGGGGATGGGGCTTAATATCACCAGGCGTTAACTCCAATAATTCCTCAGTGGGAAAGTGAAATCCGTTCTTCCCAAATACCAGTCCTTTAAATTCTTCCCATTTGATTATACGTTCATTTCATGTAGCAGGGCTAAAATAAACTTTCGGTGGAAGGAGAAAGGTCGGAAGGCAGGAAAGAAAATGAGAATCATGTCAGCATAGTGCTGAGACAGGCAGAAATACACTTCAGCAAAGTTTTCATGAATTGCATTGCATTCTTTGGATCAAATCCAGAGTCAGTTTGAAGATAATAGGAACGTTGAGTACTAAGTAATACACTGACAGAAGACACGACTACATGCTGGCAGAAGACATGTGCATGGCTTTTATAGTAGCTAGGACACTTGCAATAATTGCCTGGTAGTGTGGGGACAGAGAATTAAACTGTCAGGAGGAAGACAAGCTTTGACATCTCATGACTAAGGCTGGAGAAGACTATGTATGTTATGTATCTGGTCTCCTTTGGTCAGACATAAAACTTTAGCTTCCCCATGCAAATTAGGGAGCTGGGTGAGGGACAGTTGGGGTTTTGGGCACCTGGGAAGGCAATTTGAGATGCTGGGGTAAACACATTAGCTTCTACATTAGGTTTCAGAGTCAATGCACCACAGAAATGAACATGGCAGTTTATCCCTCTTACAACTATTACTGCAAGTAAAAAGATATTTTTTCTAACTTGCAGCCCTGTTAACTGAACCTGGGATCTGAGTCATGCTGAGCTCCTTCATTTTTGCACGCCACACTATGCCCTTAGGCACACCTATGAACAGGTGTCAATAAATGGCTGGCATTGTAAATATTATTTATTACCAACTGCACCCCGAATGTACTAAGTGCAGGCTCTCTGCAGACTCAGAAAGGCTACACTATGTTGGCCTGCGCTTGGTTCATGTTTTCAGGGGCATTTTAACAACCATAAGAGCTAGAAAGATAACCTTGTCTAACGAACAGCAGCTTAAATGCTGAGCACAAGCCTGCAGCAAGGAGCAGATTCCATGAGAAATTCTGCAGTGGTGAAATCACAGAATATGGGGACCTGGGTGTGACTCTGAGTACATACAGGGGGCAGATCTGAGAAGTCAAAAGGTCTCATTTTGACACAGTGACTTTCCAGAGCAGACCCACAATTTATGATATTAACTAGACTTCTTTCAGCACAGCATCAAACACTCTTCCGAGATAGGAGGGTAACCTCTGGGGATGGGGAGGGAAGGTAGAAGTCATGAATATTTTCCCAGGCTTGATTGTTGCTTTATAGTCATTCTCTTTTCCTCCCACTTATGCGTTTCTTATATTCATTTAGTTAGAGCTGCTGGCCTAAGTATCTTTAAAGCTACTGCTCTGAAGGAAAAAAAAGAAGTCTAAATACAGTAAAAGCTTTGTTATCCGGCATGCTGGAGGAATGGGGGGTGTCGGTTAATCAGATATTCTGGTTAACAGAGAGTTATACGTTACCAATTTTCAAAGAATTAAAATGAATAAAGTATAAAGTCGTCGACAGGTACTCACCAATCCAGTGTAGTACTGCCCTGCAGAGTGGCTGGTTTCTTGAGGCACTGAGGGGTGGGCAGGTAAAGTTTTCTATACAGTAGGTCATCTTATGACACTACATATCACTATGGGCCGCGCGTGGCTTACACCCAGATCACTAAAAATACACAACACTAAAAATATACTGAACATAATTTAATCTCTCTTTGGTGATTCAGAAGGCACTTCAGGATCTTGCAGTGCCTCAGGGTCATCATTATCAACAGCAATTATCATTGTCGCTGTAGAAGGTGTAGGAGATTGGGCTGAATCTGTCATGACCCTCTGACACACCCTGGAAGCTGCTTTTTTAAATAAATCCCTGTTATCAACTTGTTTACTTGTCGTCTGCCTCTTTTGCATAAAAGTAGAGGGCAGAATGTGCAATGGTGTAACCTCCCGGGCAGTATACTAGTCCCGGTTACAAGACTGAAGATGTGTACTGGGATAGATCAGAAATGCCGGTCCATAGAGCTTTCCCGTTGATAAAGTGCTGGATAACAGCTTTTACTATAAGGCTTGATAGAATATATTCACAAAATACATTTACCAGTGCACTGTGGGATAACTGAACTATGGACACACAAACCCTTCCCAGTCAAGTTTCTTTGCTCTGGCATACATCTTTTGGGCTTGTATTTAGCACAGCTTAGCCCTGGGATTTTATTGGAAACCATGGTGTTACACTGCAGCTCGTATTCCTGCTGCCACATTGTCTCCAGCTAAGGGTTCACTAAAGTCTACACCTTTATAGGTCGAAGCAACGTTAGAAATGAAGGAGCTGATGCGGCTAGGTGCTGTGTCTGATGTGGGTAGCCGGCCCATGGGACTAATCACATGCTTAAATTTAAGTAGGTGTTTTGCTGGATCTGGGACAGAGTATGCACCCCCTTGCTGGTTCAAGCCCAAACTGAATAAGGGGAAATCAAGACTTGTAAATGTCCCCAGCGTCCAAATATTCTCATGCCATCCCTGTTCATAGATGCATTGTTTATTAAAGTCCCACTTGATACTGACCTGACTTAGTGGTTGTTGGGTTTTTTTGGGAGGGGGCAGGGGGAAGGGGGAAAAACAAAAAAATGATTATGCATCTCTGGGCATCACATTGTTTGAGTCCTAGAGATGAGGAGGTGGAGTTCACAGCTGCTGTTCACAATCGTGTGGAATACTTTTTTCTATTACTACTGAGGCAGGACAAAACACTTCCACTTGAACCGGAGATTACTTCTGTTAGAGGCCTCCTCTGGGCACTGTGACACTCAGGCATAAAAGAGGTACAGAAGGCACCATACACGTGTCGGGGATCTGGGTGTGACTCTGCGTCCATACAGGGAGCGGATCTGAGGAGTAAAAAGGCCGGGCTTGCACGCATACTAGGGACCGAACCGCAGCACAAGCCCCATATCAGTTCTGAAGAGTTGTTCTGCTTCATGAAATCCCTTTCCTGCTTTTGTGATTTTTTTTACTACTGTGAATATTTTTGTGCCCATTATATAAACATAGGAGTGAATCCTGCTGTCTGGACTCAGGCAAAACTGCCCTTAAAGCAAATAGTAGTGTTGCCTATGTCAGGCTGCAGGATCTGATTATAATACAGCAACAGCTATCCGTGTTCAAATAAGGTAACTCTAGGCCTAAACTCCCATCTATGAGTACATTTTCCCATTCACCTTTCATTTGTAGTAGCTTCATTCCACCTAGCCCTCAGCTGCATTACTGAAGTACCTACCATCACAGTCACATATCAGCGCTCTCTATTTCGAAGGCATTAGCTGAAATTTGCCAGGCTCAGGCTCTCTGCTTAGGAGTGAGTTTTTCCCAACTTAATGGCAAAACACTCTGCAATTCCCTTTGAGGGGCTGCTCAAAGCCAGGAGTGGGGGAAGACAGAGGTGTACGAGATTTAAGTCTGTTTGGCATTTGTTTGACTAAAAGCAAACAGCTTAACACGTTCAGATGAAAATGTGTGTGACATCAGTGAATGGTGTGAACCCCAGGCCTTTTGAGAACATTTAAAAATAAAATGTAAGCGACCAGGAGTCCCAGCTCCATGGGGAAATAGCTGCCTTCTGGCACTGCAGGCCCCAGCAGGTTGCAGATCCTGAGGCTGTGGGAAGACAATGATCTATGGTATTCAGGAAAATGATCAGCTTTCGAGGGAAGCCCAAGGGGGTGGGGGTTGGGGAGGAGTGAGTGGCTGAATGGTGAGGAGCAGACTCCGTTGTTCACAGCTCCTGATCCTCCTTCCTTTCAAATTCCTCTTTTTGGCTGCATAGAAAATGGAAAGCCCTCCAGTTCCAGGACCCGTTAACTCTGCTGCATAACCACGATTGATGGAGAAGAAGCGGCCTATGTTCCAGTGTTACAAGAGTTAAAAAACAACAACATAACTTTCGGAAAGGGCTCAGAAAGCGAGAGGATGAACATATTACGTGCACACATAGTTTCTTTCGTGCCACCCTTAGGTGACAGGTCTAGCTCTCATTCTAGACAAACCAAATTCCTTATTCTAGCCATTTGCTGTAACGCCATTGGGATAAAGTGCTCTGTCTTTGCATCTTTAGGAGAGGATCTTTCAGCCTACGGAAGAGTTCAACAGCCAGGGTCCTTTTAGTGCTTTCTGTACCCAGGACACCTGACCCACCCAAAAAGGACATCCACAGCCTTACACGAGGAGGTTAATATCATGCTAAAGAATCCGACAGGGGGAAGGAAAGGAGGAAGGGGTTGCCATGGAATAATGCATAATCTGACATTCCATGACCACCACAAAGGACAGGGTTCCATGGAAGGTTCATGATCAGCCCTTGTAGTTGCAAAGCACAAGAGGCCCCACGTGCATCTGTAGGGCAGCTGCCACCGAGGCTCATTTTGGGAAGACTGACCTCCAAATTAACAGTTAAAAACTGGCTTCTGCTTATGAACAATCCCCTCCTGGTGAAATTAGACTGGGACAGCGGTGCATGTCTGATGTAGCAAGCACTCAGAGAGGTTAAATAACCTATTAGCAGTCCAGCCTAAGGGATGTCTCCTTTAGCTCATGTTAGCAAGGCCTATGTTGCTGAAGCTGAAGGACTAGTGTTCTGCTCCTGCACAGAGGCAAGGCTGGGGGTGATTTGTCTAGTCATTATGGCTGTTGCCTGCAATGGCTGGATTTATTACAGAACACATCAACTCCATCAGCGGACAACGTGGGAAGAAATAGAAGTCACTCCAATCCCTGCTTGGTAGGCAAATATAGGAATATGTTGTCTAAAGAAGCTCAACCAATTTCAGAGAAGTTTCTTGTGTGTACGCACGCATGTGTGCATAGGTTTTGTGGAGTAGCTGTTGTGCAAGGATGTGGTGCATGTATTCACGCGCACACTACTTTTAAGGGTGGATGAACCCTCAGGAGGTTCATAATATGGGTTAGGGTTGGATAAATATCCTAAATTTGGATGCTCACTCAAGGTCTATCCTAACTACATGAATCCACTGAGTTTGCAAGATTGGGTTGCAAGTCTTCCCAAACAGGTTGTCTCATGAGATTTCTGTTTCTTGGTCCAACTTCTGCTTTTGATACCAGCAAATTTCCTCTCTTTTGTCATTTTGATCCTTCCAGGCGAAGTTAAAAAAATGATCTAAAATTATTAGAACCTTAAAGAAAGGTTTGGTTTGAATGTGGGTCCACATTTGAATTGATGCATCCATTGTTGTCATTAAGAACGGCACCATCACAGTAGTGCCTAGAGAGCCCACCCAATATCAGGCACCAGGAGTATACGTAGTAAAGGAAACAGTCCTTGCCCCAAATAGCTTGCCAAGTAAGCTGTCTAGACACAAAGAGTGGGAGAGAAGAAGGATTATTATCCCTATTTTACATATGGGAAATGGACAGATTAAATAATTAGCCCTAGGTCACACAGGAAGGTTGTAACAGAGCCATAAAATGAATCCAGATCTCTCAAGCCCCTGTCTTGTACCTTAATCATGCCTCCTCAGCACACAAGCCTTTCCCCCTACTTAGTTTCAGGAGAATATCTAATGAGTGGTATGAAAAGTAAAAACATTAAATAACAAATGTTCCACTTGACCAAAAGGGCAAACTGTCTGTGATTAAAACACTTGGTTATTTCAAGGCTGGGGAATAGCACATAACCATTATATCTAAATAGCCACATTTCCGAGTGCCTTGGCTGTTTAAGAGCATCACTTCATAGGTCCTTAGGGTGCATGGAGAATTTAGCTTCTCTAAGAGGTTCTCACACCCTCCAAACAATTGAACAGCCAATAGACACAGGAGCCCTTGCAGCTGGAGAAAAGAAGTGTGGGGACATACATTTTCCTTTTTCCCCGCTGTAAAATATACGCATGCAATGGCCTGTGAGAATTTGATGAAAAACCAAGATACTGCACTGCTGCATTTGAAGAGTATTTGTGCTGGTTTTCCTCGTTTTATTCAAAAACAAAAGAAGCCAACGAACAGCTAGAGCATACTGATTTGGATCCATACGCTGAACATGCTTTTTCCTCTCCCTTTTTGTCCTGGATATATCCTAGTGTTGGACCGGATGAACATGGCAGTAGCCAGAACTCAGCAAGATTCTCCACCTAGCTTTACCTAAATCCTGACCTGAACGTCTTTCCCGTTCGACTCCAGGGAATCATCTGAGCAGAGACTGAAAACCATGCTGACTTATTCAGCATTGTGTTGATTGTGAGATGTGAATATGTGTTCACTGTGGACCAGGAAGATATCGAGTTCTATTCACTTACCAGATTTGAGGATTCGGGTGATGAGAGGTTACTGTACCAATTTACTATTCCAGCTCTTTAGCAGATTTCTAAGTCATCCTCCAGTGGTGTATGACCAGGCACTAAATGATGAAGTCCAGTACGCAAACAAATAATCTTGTCATTAGAGAAAGGTGAATATCAAAAGTTTGGAGGATCATTTCCAACTAGGACAAGTCCCCTGAAGTTCAGATACCTTTCAGCCCTGACAGAGGCCTCTGACCACAACTGCCATGGAAGGCTAAGCTTTCCAACAGTTCTTCCAGCTTCCAGTTAGGCCTGAGATTCCTTGGAAACAACCTTTCTCCATTTGTGACCCATCACACACCCTGCAATGTTGTCTTCTAATGATTAAATGCCTTTTTCAATTCAATGCGCACGTCTTATCCAATGGATTCTTTCAATCAAATTGAATCTTCTGCTGTGAAAAACAGATCATAGCAAAAGGGTTAAAGGAATAGAGAAAAACTATTTTTTCACCTTATTTGGATATAAATAAGATGTTACTGGTCTTCATTGTAAGGACAGAATGGAGTTGTATGGAGATTCTAGATTCTCCTTCCTCTCTGAATTCCACACACCCTTAAACTCTCTTTCCTCCATACTCAGATTTAGCCTGGCAGATGTTCCTAGGGTTGCTCTTTCCTGGAAGCCCAGACATTCCATTTAAAACAAGGGTGATTAGGGATGGCCCAATGGACTAGACCATTGTGGAACTAAGTTCAGATCCTGAGCCTGGTCATGGGGCCCTGAGTTAATAGTAGCACCATGAATAGAGAAACATCTGGCTCCTCAGGGAGAGGGAGGATTGAGAGGCACCCATTTTGGGGGAGGAAGTGACTTGGCTCAGCCAGGGGCATTTGAGGACTGTCTTTGGAAAGAGACAAAGCGTAGCCAGAGGAGTAGAGGTGTGTTTAAGGTAAATGGTGAGATTCCAGACAGTTGTCTTCTCCTATAGAAGCAGACTGAGAACATTAATGGGTAAGACAGGGAGTCAAGGGCTAGTTCCTGATGCTGCAAGCAAAGGGGGTTGTTCATAGGAATTATGCAGGATGTGGAGGGAGAGAGAATCCTCAGCTCCAGGAGGCCACTACAAGAGAGTGGAATAGGGGATTTGGGCTGATTTTCTTCCCAAGCTTGCTTTGTTTCTGCTGTGCACAGATCCATGGGCTAGCTCCCACCCGCCAGCCACATTCCAATTTCTGAGCTGAGCCATGGAGCTCCCTGCAGAGATTTCTCAATGGGACAGAGAAGACGCAAATTCCCTGACACAGCAGATCCAAAGGTTTGGCCCAGAGACCCCAGTCAAGATCAAGGCCCCCTTGCGCTCGGTGCTGCACAAGTACATACAAAACCATGTACCTGTTTAAGTGGGTCCAGAATTTGGGCCAAAATAGGGGTTACTATGCTGCTCAGTATAGTGAGAAAATGTATTTCTATACTTCTAGTTGGGAAGTCCACAAATCTGAGTTGCTGATAGGTTGAAGACTCGTTTTGGGAAGCTTGCTGCAAAGAAGAATTGATTTTATGGCACGCACTCCCCCCCACCCAATAATTATATATATTTATATCATATGAACAACATTACACAAAAAATACCCATGCCAATTATAAATTATACTATGCACACAATTTATATAATATTAAGCTACGTATATGCACATATCTTTTTAAGAGGAGTTTATGAGTTTTTAAGCTAACAGAATCAGATATTCACATGTTGCAATATATAATGGTGTTTTCCAAATATTTCCATATATACACTAAGTGAAATTATATCTGTGGCAAAATATAGCTTGATTGTTAATTCTGAACCATGTTGAACTTGCAACCCTTTTTGCTTTAATCTAAATTGCTCTTTTCAGTGTATTTATATTAGAATTTGGAAACAAATGCAGTTTCCCCAACCCCCCCTTTTTTTATTGTACTGGATTGAATGCACATATGTTATTAGGGGCCTCTTTTTGAAATTTACAAAGGAAATATACACTGACTGTATCATATGCACCAAATCAATGAAATATCCTGTGTTTTCTATTCATTAAGCCCCTAAAGCACTATGTGCAAATTCCCTCACTTTAATTACACACCTCGGGGATGTGCAGGCCAAAAAAGGAGGCAGTCAGAGAAAAAGCCAGGTCTCTGCCAAAAGGAAAAAAAAAAAAAAAACCAAAAAGCTGGTAAACATTTATTTTCAGCAGGGAAATCTGCTATTAATTCATATAGTGATTTTCCCCAGCTGAAATAATGAGGCAAGCCAAGTGAACCAAATGTTCACAGTGAGCAAACATGAACAGCAGGAAATCAGCCCATCTCTTATTTACATGTTTATTCCATCAGCATTTGAAGAACACTTGCGCGATCCTCTTGTAGTCAAGAGTCAAAGTTTACTCACACTCCTGCCTATGTGATAACATGTGCTGTTCGTGCTAGCCTCCGAGACACCTAGATCTGACACTCCTGTTAGGACAATGCTCACCAGTTGCGCTTTTTACATCTGTGGTAAAAATGCTGAACCACATTCGTTTATTTCAGGTAACAGCAAAGTCAGAGCCTCTCCATTATGAGCAGCACGAACATTTTACTATGCATTTGGGCCTGACCCTGCATTCCTTCCGCGCCCCAAATTGCCATTGACTTCAGTGGGAGTCTGACATATAGGACTTTTGCCCTAATCTATATAACTACGTTCTGTCTTCAAATGTCTGCTACATCCAGATCATGTGTCTGAGCCATCCTGACTCATGCAGCTTATTCCATAAAGTAACTGCGGTTGCTCCCGTGCATAAGGGGTTCCAGGATTAGGTCCCTGGGCCTTAACAGGCCATGGAAATGTAATAACTAGTAACAGTATTTGTCCGAAAAAAAAGGTTTTTCAGACATAAATTGAACATTATTTAAGATTGTAAACTCTTTGGGGCAGGGACTGTCTTCTCATGGTGTGCGGTGTGCGCATAATAAACCTAAAATAATGGAGTTTGCTTCCTTGTTTAGGGCCCTTTGGCGGTCCCAGAACTCAAACAGTAAATAATAATGGCAGCATCTGTATTGAATTTAAATACTAAGGAAGTGCATCCGACCAGAAAGCAAGTCAGCCGTTACATCATTTTAAATTGCAAAGATGCTTCCTGTAACTCTCAGTTTTTATATTGTCCTTTACACCCAGGAGCTCCAATTTTAACTAGCGTGCATTTGATGGTATTTTTTCCAGAGTGTTATGCAAAGAATGGGGTTCCCTTCATGAGTTTTTAATTCCCGCGAACGATCATTCAGATTATAATCTGAAAATTCCTCTAGAGCAAAAAACAAACAATCCCTCCCCCCACACACACACTTTTGACCAATGAAGAAAACTTTTAAGGGTCCGATCCTGTGTGATGGAGGACCTTCAATTCCCACTGAAGTCACAGCCGTCAGAAAGCCCCTGTAGGATTTTTCCATAAAGAGCCGAATAATGTAGAATATATTTTTAAGAGCCACATTCCCAAAGTTCAGGTGTAAAGTAGCAATAGTTCAACTAATAGTCAATATCTTTCACAGTAGCAAAAAGAGGGTAAATACCACCCACCATGGTTGTAAACGAGTCTATTTATCGATCAGCACCTGTGAAGATCCTCATTATCATCACAACACTTGAAATTAAATAAGTGTTTTCAAAACAAGTTTTAGACATAATGGGAGGAAACCCCTAAATCTGGACAAAAGTGTCAATCAGTAATTTAACATATCAGAATTTAAACTTACTTGTACTATAGTTTGAGCTCATAGCAGATTTCTGATATCAATAGGAGGTTTTATGCTTTAGCACAAGTAAGAACAGGGGTAACGTCATTGTTAAAGTGCTGCTCTTTCAAAATCAAAATTTGCATCTACCAAAGCTTTCTCTAAATAATTTTTAGCAGAAATATTTTATTCATTGCTGACAAAAATGATGCATGAGGAATCTTTTCCCTGTTCTATAAGAAGCAGCAATGCCCTATTAATTTTGACAGACAACTTGGCATTAGCCACTTTAAAATCCAACATGGGATAAAGTTATGGATTACTAGTCTTCCTACGTTTTTGTCAAGAGATGAGCATTTTGCCAGATTTTTTTAAATAATATGCCAAGAGCTTTGTCAGTCCGTTTGTTTAGCTCTGCACGGTTATGCCAGTATTTTTCAACCACCCTACTGTGTGTTACACTGCCCATCACTGCTTTCCTAGCTCCTCCCCGGCAATTAGACAAAGTCAACATAGCAATCATTCTGGGCAGCCCTGAGGTACCTGCAGCTATCAACAGTCCAGATTCACAGTCCTGATGAACAAGCTTTGCTTATTCAATGAATCACTACCTCAATTAGGGCCTTTTATTATATCTAGGCAATTTATCACAAACACAACAGATGGGACTGATAACACTAAACACATTTAAGTCATCACCTAAGAAGAAGAAGAAGAAGAAGAAAAAAATCCAGAAAGAAATAGGAGCAAACATGTAAGGCAGCTTGCAGTCAGGAACCAGTTACCATGCCGACTGAAGCCTGTGCGGAAGAATGCGCTGGCTGACACACAGAACTCAATGAAAAGATGAAGAAACTGTGCAGGCAATATGACTTTGGCAGGGATGGTGGGGAATCTGAGACGGAGCTGCTGGTATGGAAGGATCTCACTGCATGCAATTTGCAAACATGCCAATTCAATGGCATGTGATAGACACTAGATGGAATTTAAAGGTCTTAGGGTCTTAAAGAGCTGGAATAGCACAAGAAACGTCTGGATCGCAAAAATGGCAGTCCCTCGCACAGAGCGGTGTTGCAAATTTAAATCTGTATTAGAGACACAAGGAGGTTGTTTACCGAAATGCATACTCTAACAAGCAATCTCCTCCATGCTCCTTAGATTTACCTGACTTGTACAGTATCTTTGCATGGCAGTGATGAAATGGCCTGTGTTAGAGCTGCTGAGTTTCCAGAGCCATTCCCCGGGCTTCCAGCATGGGGGTCTAAAGAGCAATTACAGTGCTACAGAACTCATAATGCAACTTCAGAAGGATCTAAATTTGAACGGGATTTCCCAGATTTTTTTTTTTTTGGTGGGTTGGGGGAATATTGGGGAGGCGGGGTTGAAGGAGCAGAGAAAGGTACGGATAGAGTAACGGGGAGAGGATATGCATGGTTGGAGCAATGAAAAAACAAAACCCTGCACTAATTCCACCAGAGTTATTTCCTATATGTGCTGCATGGCCCCAGATTTCTTTCGTCTTATAACACTGCGTCATCCCCCAAGTTATTTTTAAGGATCTATTTTTTCGATCAGCATCAGGAGGACACTTGACTGTTGTCCCGGAAGAGTTTTTGTGGCAGATGGGAAGTCTACGTATTTCTCATAGTC